AATTCGAAGATTAAAGAATATAGAATAATACTCTCTAACGGTTAGAAACCAGTAATTGCAAGAACATTGTTAAAATCGCATTTGTTTGCAACGGTTGACACTATATCTCGTCATGCGTACCCCGGTTAGTGCACTTTGAATAGCTCTTCCAACGTTATATGGACAGATTGCGTCTTGATCAAGCATTCAGTTTGAAGCATAAAGAACGTAGATTAATCCTTTATCATTGAAAATAACAATAAACGATCAGAACACTGTTAAAATCGCATTTAAGTGCGGAATACCACTATTTTCGGGACCGGTGGCGCCATCCGTGGCGAACCGCTGAAACTGCTGGTCAATTATATGGCTAGCAGTTTCAGCGATTCGCCACGGGTGGCGCCACCAGTCAAAAATAGTGGTATTTAACAATTAAAAGCGATTTTAACAGCGTTCTGGTCGTTTATTGTTATTATCAATAACAGTGGATTAATCTACGTACTTTCAGCTACGAATTGAATGCTTCAGCTAAACGAAAGCTGTCCGTATAACGGTGTACGAGCTGTCCAAAGTGAACTAACCGGGGTACACATGACGAGATAAAGTGTCAATCGTTGCAAATGAATTGCGATTTTAACAGTGTTCTGGTCGTTTATTGTTATTGCCACTGACAGGAGATTACTCTACGTTCTTTCATCTACAAATCAAGTGCTTTGTCAAGACGAATGCTGCCAGCATAACGTTGGAAGAGATGTCGAAAGAAAACTAAACGGGGTACACACGACGAGATACATTGTCAACCGTTGCAGACAATTGAGATTTTATCAATGTTTTGTAATTACTGGTACCCAGCCGTTATAGGGTACTAATCCACATTCTTTAAACTTCGAATGTAATGCATGACGAAGAAAAGTGTTGCCTGTTTAGTGGTACATGTAATTGCAACAGTTTTCGATCGGATTTACACTGCTAAACGATCATCAGTTTTCCTCGTCATGGATTACATTCGAAGTTTAAAGAACGCAGATTAGTACTCTCTGGCAGGTGGGAACCAGTAATTACAAGAACATTGTTAAAATCTCAATTGTTTGCAACGGTTAATACTCAATCTCGCATGGCAATTCGCTCAAACTGCTAGCCAAATTATATCGACAGGTGAGTGAAAATTTCTAGGGATGGAAAAAAGCAAATATCTCAGCAATTAAGAGCTTAAAATGCACGTCATTAGTTTCAAACTGTTCCTCAGAACTTAATGCATGGACCCAATACTGCAGAACCCGAGAATAAATAAAATTAGTTATGCCTTTATTACCGCAGTCCCTTCTGGAGCGGCAACCTGGTTTCCAACACGTTTCTATAGCATTTACACAGCTAAACGGGCATGATTCTTCCTCGTTTTGCATTAGATACAACGTTTAAGGAACGTAGATTACTATTCTCGAGAGGCTGGAAGCCAGTAATTACAAGAATATTATTAAAATCGCATTTGTTTGCAACGGTTGACACTGTATCTCGTCATGCGTGCCACGGTTAGGTCACTTTGAATAGCTCTTTCAACGTTCTATGGTCAGGTTACGTCTTGATCAAGCATTCAGATTGAAGCTGAAAGAACGTAGATTAATCCCCTGTCATTAACAATAACAATAAACAACCAGAACACTGTTAAAATCGCATTTAATTGTGGAATACCACTTTTTTTCGACCGGTGGCGCCGCCCGTGGCAATTCGCTCAAACTGCTAGCCAAATTATATCGACAGGTGAGTGAAAATTTCTAGGGATGGAAAAAAGCAAATATCTCAGCAATTAAGAGCTTAAAATGCACGTCATTAGTTTCAAACTGTTCCTCAGAACTTAATGCATGGACCCAATACTGCAGAACCCGAGAATAAATAAAATTAGTTATGCCTTTATTACAGCAGTCCCTTCTGGAGCGGCAACCCGGTTTCCAACTTGTTTCTATTACATTTACACCGTTAAACGGGCATGATTCTTCTTCGTTTTACATTAGATACAACGTTGAAAGAACGTAGATTACTATTCTCTAACTGCTGGAAGCCAGTAATTACAAGAACATTATTAAAATCGCATTTGTTTGCAACGGTTGACACTGTATCTCTTCTTGCGTGCCACGGTTAGGTCACTTTGAATAGCTCTTCCAACGTTATATGGACAAGTTACGTCTTGATCAAGCATTCAGTTTGAAGCTTAAGGAACGTAGATTAATCCCCTGTCATTGAAAATAACAATAAACAACCAGAACACTGTTAAAATCGCATTTAAGTGCGGAATACCACTATTTTTTTGACCGGTGGCGCCATCCGTGGCGAACCGCTCAAACTGCTAGCCAAATAAACGACTAGCAGTTTCAGCGATTCGCCACGGATGGCGCCACTGGTCACAAAAATAGTGGTATTCCGCAATTAAATGCGATTTTAACAGTGTTCTGGTTGTTTATTGATATTTTCAATGACAGGGGATTAATCTACGTTCTTTCAGCTACAGATCGAGTGCTTTGTCAAGGCGGAAGCTGTCAGCATAGCGTTGGAAGAGCTATTCAAAGTGGTACGCATGACGAGATACATTGTCAACCGTTGCAAACAAATGCGATTTTAACAATGTTCTTGTGGTTACTGGTCTCCAGCCGTTAGACAATAGTAATCTACGTTCTTTGAGCGATGTATTGAATGCAAAACGAAGAAGAATCATGCCCGTTTAGCGGTGTAAATGCGATTCAAATTTATTCGCAATTAGGGTTGCCGCCCATAAGGGGCTACGGTAATAGAGACATAAGTAATTTTACTAATTCTTGGGTTCTGCACTATTGGGTCCTTGGATTAAGTCCTGAGGGACAATGTGAGACTAATGACGTTCATTTTAAGCTCTCAATTACTGAGATATTTGCAATTTTCCATCACTAGAAATTTTCACTCACCTGTCGATATAATTTTGCTAGCAGTTTGAGCGAATTGCCACGAGCGGCGCCACCGGTCGAAAAAATAGTGGTATTCCGCAATTAAATGCGATTTTAACAGTGTTCTGGTCGTTTATTGTTATTTTCAATGACAGG